CCCCCCCCCCCCCGCTGTTGCCAGACAGCCTCCTCCAGGACCAACCCTGCAGGACAGGGTTCCCCTGGCGCCCCTGGACTTGCAGTAGTGACAAGGCCATACTCCCCTTTCTTTCACACTCACAGGACGCCAGCACCCCGCAGCTGAGCTCCTTGGGGTCATGTCCTGCCACTCCCTGAGGAGCAGCCCCTCCTCTGAGGTATGAGGCCCCTGGTGTGATGAGGCTGGGCTAAGTCCCAATAGTTGCCCCCATTTAAGGGGTCAAGTCTCTCCCTGTCAATTGTGCCTGTGCAATGCACTGCGTAAGGGGATGGGTGGGTAGGAAGGGTGTGAATCGGACTTCCTGTACTTTCCTGCAACCACCATTGTTCACATTTAGCATTTGCTAGGTGCTGTGACAGGATGGTCCCCGGGGAGGAGTTTGGACTCTGTGAGACTAATACTGTGAGCTGTGCTGGCTGGACTCTGCCATGCAGGAGCTGGTCCCTGAGCCTGGCTGAGAAGTCAGCTGTCTCGACCGTGAGCACAGCACCGCGTGGGGCTGCATGTGTGAACATGACTGTACCAGGTTCAAGACCAAACCAGAAACGAGGCCTCTCCTTGGGACATGAAGCCATGAGCATGTGGCTGAGCGCAGCTGGCAGTCTCTGAAGCCAAGCCCCCAGCTTGCCCTGTCGTTCTGTGGGAGATGTGGGAATCTCTCTCTGGTCTTTTCTCTCTGACACGGCTCGTTCAGCAGCACCCGAACAGCGGCTTGTTTATCCCGCCTGGTCGTCCAGCTGGGGCTTTCAGGTTGCAGTCTAGCCGGGGAGTTCAGCATCCCACCCCTCTCCGGTGCCTATGAGCTCCGACATCACAACCCCCTTCTCCCCCCTGCAAGAACTCGCGGTTCCAGAAACCTGCTACATGGTTAACTCTGGACAGCAGCTTTCGACTCAGTGGTTCGACCACAGCAACCAGCAGCCTCTCTTGCCCTCTGCAGTGCTTTGTCCTTCTCTATGAGTAGAGCTGGGGCTAGAGCCCAGGTGTCCCACCTCCCTGGTCTCCCCCTCTGTCCTCTTCCAGCAAAGTCCCCTTGAGCTCACTGGGCACTGGATCATCCAGAAGAGACACCAACAGCACATGGGCCTGAGCACAGCAGTAACAATCCCCCCTGGCATCAGGACTGAGCACAACGCTGGGGTGATGCCATCCCTCCCTTGTGAGGAGAGCAGATAGAGGGCAGAGAAAGCTGAGCCCTGGGTTGTTCTTGGTTTCTGCAGCCTGATAAGTAGTGAGAACGGTGTCCCCCCTCCATCCCTCAGGGCACCTCGCTGTGACCGCACGACACGTTCTCTCTAGGATCCTGCCCAGGGCTGTAAGGTGGTGGCGAGCTGCGAGGTGGGACAGACTGCACCTTGAGACCTGTGATCTCGCCAACCACATTGCCCCGCAGGCCATCCCTGGGTCCTCTTCCATTCCCAGTCCTCCTGGAGCCCAGCCCCATCCCATGCTGCCCAATACAGGAAAACTCAGGCAGGTAACTCACGTTTAGCCTCCTGGCGGAGTTTAGTCTTCCTCAGCTTCTGCCATCTCACTGTGACCCCGGCCCCTGAGCCCGCTCATTACTCAGGAGGTTTATTATTAGAGTTCGATTTGATTAGAGCCTGGGCCATGTGCTTCCTGGGGTTTCTCCCCATTGACGCTGGATGCAAATTATCCTTTCGCACAAATTGTGTTGGCTTGTGGGTGGTGCCGGGTCCAGACAAGGCCTAGTGGCAGAAACCTCACGCTTCTGCGAGATGAACAGCCACAACAGGCAATGTCAGCCATGAACTTAGGCTCCTACAGGTGGTCTGCATCCTTGCGGAGATTGGTCAGTGCACATGGGAAACATCTCAAATGGATCAGACCAAATTCTTGGGGAGACTTGTGCTAGCATGATGTCTCTGTGGGGTCTGTCCATCTGTGCACTGATGCCCCTTCATTGGGAGCTAATTAGTTTTTCTTTTTATGAGACTTTCTGTTAGGGAACGGCTGAGCAGTGGTGGTGGAGGAAATTCTCAGTGTGCTTTTTCAGCCGGTGCGCCACAAATTAGCCCTACACCCTCCCTGAGTGCCCATCAAACTTCTTGCCCTTACCCCATGTATTGTTTTGCTTCCTGCCATGTGCTCTCAGCCTGATCTGCTGCTCCGCTTTCTGCTCCCTGCCCTACCTGCCAGTGTGCTGCCTCTCCTCCCCAGTCTGCTGTGTGCCACACACAGAGTCTCTGCGCTCGTTCTCTTTGCTTCCCTGGGGGCTCCAGACTGTCAAGTAATCAGTTCCTGCAATTGCAGCCAGATTTTCAAAAGAACTCAGAATCCAAGATGCCACTTACTTTGGTGCTTAACAAGGAGATGTGAGCCCTAATTAAGCCCATTAAGCATTGATGGAGAGAGCTGCCAAAGGAAGCCATTTTCAATGCATGGGAAGTTTTATCAGTGCTACAAAACCCAGGAACTAAAGTACGTGTTGCAGAGCGCATATGCTGGCCCTTCATCGTTTACACGTCTACAGACACTGAGCACTCGCTCCTAACCAGTCCTGATTGTGCTCGTCTGGACATCTGGCCCTTAGCGTAGAGAAGGCACCAGCCACTGCAGCAAGGGATGCGCTCTACGGTGAAGACTGTCGCTTCATCAAACACTGGTCAAAGGGTGACTGTAGGAGTGGTTTTCACTATGCTGGTTGCATCTGCAGCTTGTCTAGAGCGCTTTTGTAGTAATGGGATTCCAGCTCATGGTAGCAGTGGTGAAAAACCGTCAACCAAAGAACATCTAGGGAAGCCACGTCCTAAGACTCGGAAGGGAGGTCAAGCACCGGTTGGTCTCGTGCTCCCGTTCCAGTGCGGCTCTGCTGTCATCGGATAAGAAACACTCCTTTGTCCTAGTATGCCCTGGACCACGTGCTGCTCCCCTGATGAATTTGGGGTGCTGATTGCTACCACAGTTGTTCTAAAGAGCATGTGAGGAAGCTCCAGATAATCCCTCCAGGATGCTGCTCTGGCCTGCCAGAGTCCCAGCCTGAATGGAAAGAAGAGATCCTAAACCATACCCCACGTCATCATCTCCTGTGACTCAGCCACTGGATGTGCTTCTGAAACAGAGAAGTCAGCGAGAAAGGGCAGCGCTTGACTTCTTCAGAAAATGTTGATTCACTACACCCGATGCCTCCCGTGGGAAAAGAAGGGGAAACTTCCATCAGCGTTTAGTTGAGAGGCTTCTCAGAGCCAGGATGGCTGGATTTTCTGGTGGAGGGATGGGAGGAAACTGGGCAAGGCTCCCTCTCTTGATCCACTCTGCTGGGCGCAGAGCAGGGACTTGCAGCTGGCTCTTCCATCTGCTAAATTAAATGGCCAAACCCCTGGGCTGTGGGCTGTTGTGGGGTTTCGCTCTCCCTTTATCTTTCCCCCTCGTTGGAGTAGATCTAGATGGTGAGACCTCTACATTGCTCCATTAAATGGGGAAACTGAGGTATCTGCTGCCCTTTGTTCCCTCCCGGGGGTGCAATTCAGTCCAGGGGAGTGGCAGGCCGAGCCCATGTCTGTGCTAACATGCTTACGCTCACGCTTCTCTAAATGCCCATGTCCCACAGCAACGCCCCCTGCTCCCAGGTCTGATGCCCTCCCGGTTACCTACTGCTTCTCCTCCTCTGCCTTAGTACCTCCAGCTCTGCAGAGCC